TGCTGAGCGTGTTCTAGAGAATTACTAAGTTTTTGGCTGTATTATGCGGTTGCCGAGGTTCATGAGTCTTGACACATTTGTTATTTGATATTTGCTTTCTTTTAGTTTATTTAGGTTCTGACTGCGAATTTCGTCTGCAAATTGATTAAAAAACATTATTTTATCAACACATGTCAAGTCGATATCTTTTCTTTTCGAAAACAGTTCGAAGTAAATATTACCTTAGTGATTACGCTAAGTTTCTACTTTACAATGAAATGAAATGTATGAAACATTTGGTTCCTCATGTTCTGTCATTGGTTATGAACAGTGATAAAGAATCACGGGCCCCTGTGCATAGAAGTGACTCCTTCGTTGTTTTTTTTAACAAAATGTCGCGTCTTCAATTAACGCAACGCGTTTCCAAGCCTCGGAGGTGTTCAGCGCTTTGCGCTTTTGGAGTAATCCTCCATTAATATCAGCGCGGGAGTAATCCTCCATTAATATTTCAATATGTCAAATCCGCGTACGCGCCTCGTACTACGCGCCCCCTGCGTCACTACTCAGCCAGATTTCGGAAGGAATTAGGATTGGGGTAGGGTTTAGGACACTTCATAGGGGTTGGGCTAGCCCTTGTGAAGCATGCAAACTTCTTTTGTCGTAACAAATTTCACATGAGATTCAACGGGGATCAAGCCCGGAACCTCAGTGGTGGAAGGCAAGCGACTTCGCGACCATATCTTCCGACGAGAGCATAATCTTCGGAATATTTTTATAAACTCTGCTTTTTAAATATTTAGTTTAGAAAATTGAATTTATTATTATTATTATCATTGAAAGAAGTTTTATCTACTTTAAAACTTAACAATCGTTTGAGAAATCCAGAATGTTCTTAAACACAGTCCCAAAAATGATGGTAATTTTTCACGATTTATTTGTAATAAATACATAGATTTTAAAAATGTAAATAAATATTGAACTTTTTATTATATTTTAAAAAAATGTTTGAATGCTGCTGAAAATGTTTGTGCTAAATTCAAATTTTGATGATTGAATTTCAATATTGAAGTCACGCTTTTAAAATATTACTTATTATCACCAATCATTTTAATGTTGACATTTTTTATGAAACATGTTTCCAATATATTTTGTCGCGAGTAAAACGATTCGTTGGAGTAGGGAGACTCGACTCAGTCGAGTGCCCTCTGCAGTACATGTGTTATTTATTAATTATGCTGCTTTAAATTTTAAACTAATTTATAATACAATGTAAAAAAATACAAAATTCGCCCGAACTCTATTTTCATTATTTACTTGTTATTTTCGCAATATTCAAATAATTGAATTTCTAACCTGAAGGATAGTAATAATGCACAGCAGCAGAGTTAAAATGTATCTTACTATTAACATATCCGGGTTAAAATGTGTCGACTATGAAGGGTATATTTGGACACGACTTTATTTTATACAAAATTCTTTCATTTCGTAAAAACAAAGAAGCCTAGAACTCTCGGACATTTCGAGACATCGATATATTGAATTTGTATCATTGACATTATTATAAGATTTGGGAAGAAGATTGAAAATGAATTTTAACAATTCTTGTTTATCAATAAACATGAACTTTTCTACCCCCAAAAAATATCCATATTTCTATACGAATTTAATAGTCGTAATAATAAAATGAATCTTCTATGCTCTTATATGTGCACAAGAATTTAGGGGCACGTCTTTTCCTATCTACTCATATTGTATTCTTCCACTTTTGTTTTTTCAAATATCAACAATGTAGTAGGTTAGGTAAATATATAATTCCTCACTATCCAATCAGTAACACTTCTGCTGTTAACTATTTTAATAATTATCTTCGGCAATTTTCAAAATTTAATACGATGCTTAAGTATTCTATACTAGTTGAATGTGGCGTCGCCGTTGTTGTAAACTATTTTTTTTAAATTAATGATTTTAATATATATTTCATACCTCATTTCTGTCATGACTAGCTTTGTTCAAATATGCACAGTATCTGGCATTGAACTTTCCAATGAATCATAGTAGCTCTTAAAAATTCCTAAAACCCAATGGCCTTGTATATTACCTCCAAACGGGATTCGAACCAGAGTAATATTACAATTTAAAAGTGATAATAGCCCTAAAAAATTAAAGGTATGAATCATGCGAATATTTATAATTTAGTACAGCTATATTTTTACGTTGTCTTTTCTAATATGAACATAAATGATCACTTTTAAGCTGTTCTTCTGTGTTCTTCTCTAGTGCTATTGTAAGATCATTCTCAAATAGTTCGTAAAATTCTGATGCAAAATCTTCTACAACTGCATTTGATTCCCCTGAGTTGCTTAACACGTCATATTATTGTCCTCTAACTTTTTAAGATTTTAAAACCCCACAACTCGGTCTGATTTGTATTCTGAAGGCGATTATATATAAGCATTAAAATGTTACTATTTTGTTCGTTTATATGAATAAGGTGAATAAGTTGTAATTTATATTAAATTGCAAATCGATTTGTACACTCTTAAGATATGTATTCTCAAATATTACTTACAGTTTTTGTTTTCTTCGAACACACTTCGTCAAATTTAGGATGTTCTTCAAATTTAATGTTCCACGGAAATTTACAAATTTATTAAAAACAAATAATTCGAATGAAATATATCACTCTTAGGACTTCGCACAAATTATGCCGAGTGATATACATTTTTGATATTCCTCGTTTATCATCGTCAAAAATCAGTTTTGCCATCGCAGCGCCAAAACACACAAAAAACCTTTATGAACATTTCTTTGAATATAATTGCCAAGTCCGAAAACAAAATATCAGTTCACCATAAGGAGACCGAGCCGCGCCGAGTGACACCTCAAATGTCTCAATTGGTCCACGGGAAGTGGGCTAGGTGTGCATGACGGAACCGCACATCTGAACACCCTCACACTCGCTCAAATACTGTATAGTGATGGTTATTGAATGACGTAGAGTCTGGATTTTGAGGTAAGTGCATATATGACTCAAAATGATAAAGATTTTTTAAGTCATTCCGTAAAATATTCATCAGGCTGTGGTTGGTCTGGTTAAGGTGTCCCAATCACTGGGTACCTTAGCGTTGGGTTTTCTGTATGTTTTTCGCTCAATTTAACTTTAGCTGTCCTGTTCATTGCGAGTAAAGATTTCCATGTTGAAACAATGGTGTTCTTTTTCCCTTTCAAGAAGGTCTATTTCCTAGGAAGGTCTCTATAGAAGTTTAGTCAGTGAAGTATTCTCATAACACAATAATTCAAATTTGCATTTTTTTGATTATAGTTTTTTTTATTGAATAGAATTTTATTTTATTGTTAATTAAAGTGTCATGCTATCATTCCAACCGAAACTGGCGCGCCTACTTCGATACCACATGATTAAAAGTGGTGGAACTAGTTGACAACGCGGTTTCAACTTTCAAGAAAGTTTGAAAGTTTCAAGATTTTGAAAGTCGTGGCTCTCAAGTGTCCTGGCACATGCCATCGTGAAAATGAACATTTAGAGATGCATTGCTTCAATGTTGACGCAGTAAATTTAAATAAATAAATCCTGTGTACGGTTTAAGCAACAGTGTTGTTCACAAACGGCCATCTGGCAGACTGGTGGGCAAGGTAACCTTTTCCGGACAGCAATTGTACTCTTCAATGTCACTCATCAAATTCGCTACCATCATAGAAGCAAACCAAATCTACGCGCGCTCCGCGCCATCTTGCCTCATATCTCTAGCCGTCTAAGTGGCTACGCACTACTCCGCCGCGAGCGCTGTCTATCTATTTTCTGGTGTAAGAGTGAAACCGTCTTTTGTTTACGTTGTTTCTTACACCTTTGAGTCCTCAGCTAAAGAAATGGAGCATTGCTTTAGTATGTCCCATTTTCAGATAGTATATTATGATACTTAACATATATACGTTAATCAATTAATACGTTAATGTTAAATAATAAGTACTGGAGGCGCGGTTGTACTTACATCAAGAGTTAATGCAACCGAATTCATACGATTGCTGGGACGATATATACTCTCTGGCTGGGACTGTGTCATGCGACAACTGCGAAGTTGAGTATATTATAGGGCACAGGCTCTAGTTGACGACATGACAATATCACAGTACTATACTGTGTCAATGAACGTGGACACGATGTAACAATAATATACTGTAATTCAGCAATGGCTTTGGCGAGCAATAACGAAATTGTAATAAATGGCAGTATGAGCGAAAATGTATTTCTTTTTTGTTGTTGTATTTTGAAAAACGCGTATGAAAACCTAGATAATACTCGGGTAATACCGGTTCAATATCCTTCTGGTAAACAGAATTTAGCTCATACTTTCTGATATTTAGTGCATTATCGCGGTTCAGCCGGTGCTTGAGCACGCCGCCACCAGTACTGGTCATCAGGCTGGCGGCATCACATTGCATTGTAATTTCTTTGCTGACTACGTTAGTCTTCTATGTGTTATAAAAACTTTCGTTATAATACTAATCAATATCGCCAGTCTTCAACATTTTATTTGTTTGTATAAAATTGTTCATCCGTATTTTTTGTAAACTTGTACGAAATACTTCATACATTAAAGTGATAAAGCTTAACGCATTTAATGCTCAGCTCTTCATCATTCTTCATTTTCAGCCATTTTGGTTTGTTTGTTGCAGCCTTGTGACGCAATTATGGTTAACAAGTGATGGAGTATGGGTTTACCTCGCTTTTAAATACCGATCATGCTTAATTAAATATAAATTAGTGACTTATAAAGTGTCCTAATATGACAATTATCCTTGAACCTGCTAACTTAGCTCAGTGACGGTTGGCAACACTATCAAAACAGTTCGTCTTGTTTTGCCGGCTGAAAAGAAGTTGCATGTTGTGACGACTCTTTTCAGGTATTTCCCATAGCAGTGAGCAAATAAGTGTGCATTAATATAATATAGCGTTCTAACGAGAATTTGAATTTCATTTTTTCACTCATTGGTTACTGAAAAGCATGGCCTCTAACGAAGGTGATATCTCTGATTCTGTTACTCGGCGCCCAAGAACTGCTCGGCCTGCGGGCAAACGAGGTCGTGGCCGGAAGAAGGTGACTCCTTCAACTAGATCAACTCGTTCCAAAAGGAATTTGTATGCTGCTGAAGTGGTGGAAGCCGATGATGTTACAGAAGACGTCCAGGAAGAACACGATACAGAAGAGGACCCCACGTCCCCTGATGTTAGTAAGGAAGAGGATGATTTGGTAGAAGCTACTTCTGAAGATGGAGACAAGTTATTTCATAGTCTTTCCGAAAGTAATGCTACGGAAAACGGTGTTGAAGATGACAAACTCCAAACTGTAGGCAAGGAAGAATTTGTAGAAGAAGAGGAGGGTGTTTCTTTAAGTTTAGAAGAACAACAAAAAATTTGTGAAGAAGAGGATGACATCTATGAAGAAGATGGAAAACTGTATCGGATTAAACATGAGGTTGTGGAATATACTGGCCAAGAGGAATTTGGTGAAAGTAGTGGGGATAGTAATCAAGTGAAGCAAGAGTATAATGAAGATGATAAACAAACACAACAAGAATTTGATGAAGAGTCGAGTCATGGGGTGGAGAGAGAAGTTCCTGAGTTAGAAGATACAGCTATTCCATCTCCTGTGCATTCCGATGTTCAAGTTAAGATGGGAGGAGAGAGTGGTGAGGAGAGTCAAAGTTATTCACAAGAAGTTGTGGAGGAAATAGACTATCAATATACAGTTCAAGAAGAAATTGCAGAAACAAATGATGTTCAGTCCAATAGAATGTTTCAAGCTGGAAGCGATGCTGATGAAAAAGAACCGCCTGAACAAGAGTTGCCGGAACAAGAAGAAAAATCGTTTGTTCAAGATGAAATGGAAGTTTCAAATGTTGAAAGTGAGGGAGTATCTAATGAACGTGAGGAAAAAATGGAAACTGGTGAAGAAAATGAAGATAACGGAGAAACAGACTTACCAACTGGGAGTGATTTAAAATCAGAGAAGAAACAGTTGCAGGAAGATAATAATGATTCAAATTTCCAAACGGAACCAGACACCGAAATGGTATCTGAAGATGAACTGCCTACAGAAACAAAGGAACCTTTAGAAACTGAAGCAGTTTCAGACGAAGAACTTCCAGAACCAGCCACTGCTGTTGATTTACCTGAAACAGAAGCTGTTTCAGAAGATGAATTACCTCCTGAAAAAACTGATAAGAAAAAGAAGAAAACGCTAACATCAAAGTCTTCTGAAGGGGAAAATTCTTTAGAATCAAGTGGTGGTAAAAAGAAAAGATCTGAAGCACCAAAACGTAAACTTTCAGAAGGAGATACATACGATCCGAGTTCTCCAACATCTGAGAATAGTTGTGATGAAAGTCCTGCTGCCAAACGTGCTGCAGTTGCTGGTGGTGGTTCTACTCCACAAGCAAAGCCAATGCCTAAATCAAGAAAGTCTTTACCAGAACTCGACAAGTACTGGGAAGCTGTAACTGAAGACCCTTCTGATTTTACTGGTTGGACATATTTATTGCAATATGTTGAACAAGAAAATGATATTGAAGCAGCTAGAGAGGCTTATGATGCTTTCCTTTCACATTACCCCTATTGTTATGGTTATTGGCGTAAATATGCAGATTATGAGAAAAGGAAAGGTAACAAAGAGAAGTGTGAAGATGTATTTGAACGTGGGTTAAAATCCATTCCTTTGAGTGTAGATTTATGGATTCATTACTTAAATTACTGTAAAGCAACTTATTCAGAAGATGAGGAACATTTGCGCACTCAGTTTGAGAAGGCCATTAATGCTTGTGGAATGGAATTTAGATCAGATAAGTTATGGGAAAGTTATATCAAGTGGGAAACTGAAGGAAAAAGATTTCAAAATGTGACTGCCCTTTATGATCGTTTGTTAACCGTGCCTACGCAAGGTTACACAAAACATTTTGATAACTTTCAAGAACATATTAGTAACAATCCTCCTCAGAAAGTTCTTTCAGTTGATGAATTTCTTACACTGCGCCGAGAAGTACTCCAGCTTTTGAAACAATATGATCAGCCTCTCACAACTGATGATGTAGCTCCTGGAGAAAAAGTCGAAGCTCCACCTGGTGAGGAGTCCGAGGAACAGCCAGCTGTTAAAAGTGACGAAGAAACAACTGCTTTGCGTGAAAGAATTATTTCTTTGAGAAGGAAAATTCATAAAAACACAGTGGCTGCTGTTGCTGATAGATGGCATTATGAAGAAGGTATCAAAAGACCTTATTTCCATGTAAAACCTCTTGAACGGTGCCAGTTGAAGAATTGGATAGAATACTTAGATTATGAAATAGAGCAAGGAGATAAAGATAGAATAATAATATTATTTGAACGATGTCTTATTGCTTGTGCACTCTATGAAGAATTCTGGATAAAATTTATTTGTTATCTTGAAAACCTTAATGAAGATATGACTGATAAAATACGCAATGTGTATGAAAGAGCGTGTACTATTCACCATACCAAGAAGCCCAATCTTCATTTACATTGGGCTGTATTTGAAGAAAGTCATCAGAATTATGACAAAGCTTCAGAAATATTGAATAATCTTGAAAAACTAGTTCCAAACATGCTGCAGGTGGCATATCGTCGCATCAATCTTGAAAGGCGGAGAAACAATTTAGAGAAAGTTTGTGCTTTGTATGAGCATTACATTTCATCATCCAAGAACAAAGTAATTGCAAATAACATGGCTATCAAATATGCTCGCTTTTGTTGGAAGATAAAAGGTGATGTAGAAAAAGCTATTCTAGTTTTAAACAAAGCTGTTGAAAAGGACAGAGAAAATCCACGTCTATATTTGCAGTTAATAGACATGGGTCTTCAAAGGTCTCCTTTAAATGAAAGTGAAATTCTTTGCATTATTGATCAGTTCTTGAATAGGGATGCTGATCCTGAACAGAAAGTACTCTTCGCACAACGAAAAGTTGAGTTCATGGAAGATTTTGGATCTGATGTGCTGTGTGTTCAAAAGGCTCATGATGAATTTCAGAAATACCTCAAAATGGCAAAGGATCGTAAGAAGAAGTCACCTGACATAGATGGGAAGATAGGTGATGGGTCACCGAGCAAGAAAAAGAACCAGGCTGGTGCTGGGGATGGGACACATTCTGGGCATGGTGGTTCTCATAGCTCTAGTCAGTCTCCCCATAGTGGCAGTGGATCTCAACCACCCCAACCACCTAGTGGTGCTCAGTTGTCGACAACAGCAGCAGGGGCCAGTCAGTATCCACCACCCAGTTATGCTCAAGCAAGTGGGTATTCTCAACCTCCGCCCGCACAGGGTGGTTACCAAGGAGGGCAATATCCTCCTACTGGAGCTCAGCAACCTCCAACACCATACAGCCAGCCGCCGTACAACCAGCAATATAGCCAGTCCGGGGATCCCAGTTATGCAAACTATCAAAATTGGGGATATTCACAGACGGGGTATGGTGGTTATAACCAGGGATGGAATTATAATTATTATCAGTGAAGTGATTATGAAATTCTTCACAATATTTGTGAATAGGAGAATCAGCGGCTATCTGAAGTTATAAAGAAATGCTGATTACATTCCTAATTTCTGATGAATTTTATTTCTCCTAACAAGCATTACACAATGTGTTCCATATGATTTTGCAAATACTTTTCAATACAAGGTCATGTAAAGATTTTGATAGCATTTTGAGACTTCAGGACATTACTATAAATTTAAAAAGTATCACATAGAATCCCCTAAAACGTGATGGCCATTAAGTGTTTGGCTTGTTTAAGTATGCAGTTTGTGACCAACCAGAGGGTATAGTTTTATAAACTTGCTGATTTTTTAAGTTCTTTTCATGAATTAATTTGTTCATCCATGATCATTAAGATAAGGAATTGTCATAATTTCTTAATTGGTTTCTTGGCTTAGGTGTTTCCATATATTTCATCAAGTTTGTAAAAAAAAATACATATGTATACATAAAAATTGTATAGTTTTTGTTCTAAGAATGTATTTCTGATATGGTTTGTGAAATTTGAGATGTATTAGTTTCTGTAATAGTTAATCAGTTGTTATGTCTTTGATCAGAAAATGATTGGGCTGATTCACCATTCTGGAATTTAATACATGTACAGTCCGAATAAAGCTTTGGCAAGTAAAAGTAAACACCTCTGTGCAAAATCCAATTGCAGATGTGATTATTTTAAGTGCTTTTTTATGTTTCATATGCAATCCTCTGAGGTTTTGAGCAGCTGAGAGCAACAGAATTTATGAAGAAAAAATGTGCACGTAAAATATTCACATATTTTGTCACAAAGAGGAATGGATCCGTTGTAGTGAGGAACATGTACAAATGTATACAGGTATTCTCTTTTTGCAGCAGAATGTCTGTCGAACAGCATATTAACAAATTTATATTTTGCCTTAAAAATCCCTTGTTCTCTTCAGTGTGCATTTAAATCGATCCCTGAAGTAAATAACATTGGTTTTCTATGTTCATATGTTTTAATAGTGCTGCATATAAATTTTTAGTTCTATTATAGTGTACATTTTGTATGTTCCTACCTCTTGAAAAAATATATTTTAATTTTGACGAAGTTGTTTTATTGTGTTTCCCTTTTCTTCCATAATATATCTCAAGTTGGAAATTTTTGAAAATGTGATTATATGTTCATATTGTATTAGAAGCATAATTACGATCAATTTTCTTCTCTGTTCATGTTTCAATAATTAAATTTTAAACTTTTAAAATGTATTGACAATTCTTGAGATATTTGATATCCAGCGAGTCCAAAACACACCTGATTTATTTTGCTTGATATCAGCTGACATTTTACATCTGCTTATTGTTTTATTTCTTAGCAGATACTCTATGCCCACAGTATCTCAATTTTTTTTTTTTTTTTACACCCTTGAGATCCTTGAACCTAGCCTTCAGTCACTAACTCTGCACATAAGCCTATGGCAGGCGTGAACCTTAATACAGTCAGGTAAGTTACTCATGTTAAATGATTTTAATATACGTAACACTTATCTAGGAAGTGAAGTATTGACAACATAACAGAACTCCTAAGTTCTGCACAACTTGGTCTACAATTTTACTTTTAACTTGAGGATTGCACCACAAGAAAAGAAGATGGAGTATGTGGTTCTATTACAAGTATTTGCAGTTTTCTCAAAAACTGTTCCAAATTAGTTTTAGTTTTTGATTTCAAAAGAGCCAAGTATGTATGGTAAAGGCACAATTTCATTTAAAAATTATTGATTCTGCATTTTTTTTTATCAAAAATATTTTATCGAGTCAGATATACAATTGCAATCATGTAATGACGAGTCAAATATGATGTATATGGAGGGAGTACAATTGTGCAGATCTTGAGTGCAGTAAGAAGTTACAATCTAAGATTTGCTCAAAGGACCAGGGAAACTGGAAAAAACGAGATGGGGTCATAGACCTAGGAATTGTACTATAATACTTGTTACAGATAGATTAAGATATATGCAGTAATTATTTCCGGTAGCAAAATATTTTACCATTTCTAGATTTGCATTGTTTCATTTTTAAAATAAAATTTATTTGGTATAGTCAGTTTACTGCTACTACTCATAATAATAATAAAAACATTTGTTCAAAGGATTGGTTCTCTCAATTGCTTAGTGATTAGGGCAGCTGGGTGTTGACCAGAAGGCCTCAGTTTGAATCCTGGACAAGGCAACCGATTCTTTGAAGAAATTTAATTATTAAAATGCACTCTTACTCAGTAACGTGGTCACAATTTATATTTCTTTACGACTGCGGAATGTATTCTCCAAGCGTAATTGTTTCCAACAAGGTGTTGGGAATGGTGACAATTATAAATAATAAAAATAAATAACAGTACATGATATCTATTGCGGTAACCACTTAAAATCAACAATATTAATACATTCAATGTTTAAATCTTGAAAGGATGAGAAGGCAGGTTTTGGCCAGGATTTTTCTACACTAGTCCTACTGCAGCACCTGAAATCAAATTGGACATATTAGTTTCTGAGGTATTTCTGAATAGAAGAAAGGTTTTGCCCAAGGAAGTGTTTGAGCTCTTTTTTGAAGTTGTGTAATCCTGTTACATTTCTCAAATGTATTGGTAATTTGTTGAAGAATTGTACCTCGGTAGAGAATGTACCCTTTTGGTATTGTCTGCATGTGCACAATGATATGATATGTTTACAAGTGTAAGTTTGAGTTAAATTTGTATGGTGTTGTTTATTAGATTTATCTTTACGAACATGAGATCTTTGTAAATGAATATACAAAGCAGTGGAAGTATTAAGTTTTTTAAATTGAGGTCTACAGGACTCTGTTCTTTTTGTATTTGTTATTGTCCTGATGATTCTTTGTTGTACTTCAAAAGTTTGCTTACCTGCTGGTGCTTGGCCACAGATTATTACCCATAACTGAGAATAGAGTGTACATTTGCGAAGTACACTGTTTGAACTGTTTCAATGGTGCTGTGTCTTGTTATTATTCTAAGAGCATAATTAAGTTTGCTCAATATCGAATTTATACCTTCTAGGTGAGAGTTCCATTTGATCTTGGATTGTATGGTGTTTCCAAGAAACTTGGTTTTCTGTGCTTGTGTAATCCTTTGTGTGATCCTTTCAGGATCTTAAACGTTTCTACAATATCATTTCTACTTCTTCTCTGTTCTAATGTTAGAAGAGACATTTCTCTGCATCTTCCTTCATAATCAAGTTGACGTAGTTCTGTAGGGATCTTTGTAATTTGCCTTTGTACTTTTTCAATATGTTTTTTATCTTTCTGATAATAGGGGGACCAAACCACATTAGCATACTCTAGTATAGGTCTGATATATGCCATGTAGATCAGTTTCACCATAGATGGACGTAATGTAGAGAATGTCTTTCTAATCAGGTATAGTAGCTTATTGGCTTTTTTAGTAACGGTAAACACTTGGTTATCTCTGATTATTTTATTCATTTGCAGATTAACCCTAACCCTTGGTTATTATTGATGGCAGGTCATTTACAAATATACAAAATAAAATTGGGCCTAGTGTGGATTCCTGTGGGTCTCCAAAGGTCACATTTCTTGGTTCGGCATGATGATTTTTTATTTTATTGTCCTTTTGGTAAGGTGACACTACTACAAGTATTTGTTTTCTGGTGACAGATATTATTATTTTATTCACTTGGATTCCATAAGATTCCAATTTTGGCAATAGAATTCTGTGATCTATTGTGTCAAAAGGCTTTTGACAGCTCATGGAAGAGACCTACAGGATTTTTTTTTTTTTTGCTGTAATTCCATGAAGATTTCATTTACAAAGGTAAATAAAGCATTTTCAGTTGATTGATTTTTCCTGAATCCATGTTGTGATTAAGCATATAATATTACAGTGTATCAACCTTTCATAGACTAGTTTTTCGTATATTTTTGAAAATCCTGATGAGAAATTTGTCTATAATACATTACATCTGTTTTATTACCCTTTTTGTGAAGAGTTTTAAATGTGTTTGAGAAGGAGGCATAAGTTAGTGATTGGTTGTATAAATATGTTAATGGTTTGATATATATGGAGCAACCTTTTTTATAAAGAAGTCTGGAATGATGTCCATTCTACTAATCTACAGTTTATTTATTCAATCTAATCTGCAATGTAAACATTTTTCTTCATTAGACCTCAGTAAAGTAATTTGTTTTGGTAACATACGGATTTTATTCTCTAGTAGGATAACATTTTATTTCACTGGCAATACAATGTCAATTGCAATGGGTAACATTGCATAACTACCCCAATGAAAGTCATGTTCCATTTGAGTACACTACAATATTAAACATTTCATTTAACTTTCTCATTTTCATTTATTTAGTAGTGATTGTGAAATAAGTCGTTCAAGAGTAAATGGATTAAAATTATTTATAGGTGACCAAAGCAGTTAGTCTTTTGTCTTCCACTGATAATGGGAGAGGGGTGGATAAAAAATGTGATATATGTGAACTAACATCCTACAAATACTTTATGTTGTTGTATGAGGATCCAGCCAAGCCACAACATGAAAACGTCCACGATTTACTTGATACGTGAACATATGATCATTGGTTTTGTGTACTGGGGCTATACTGCAACGTCCACGATTTACTTGATTCTTGAACATATGATCATTGGCTTTGTGTACTGGGGCTATACTGCAAGCCTTTGCACCCTTAATACAGGTGTGAGGATGGGGGGGATGTAATTTTACCTTCTAGGAGATGAATTGGAATGCTTCCAAGACTCAAGTCATTTCATGGATCAATGAGTTATGATATTGGTGTTTTCCATCGTTCTTCCACAAAACTTCAAGGTTCTTTAAATGTCATTGCTTTAGCTGAACAAGTTCAAAATAAAATAAAAAATACAAACTAGGAGCAATAATTTTTTGATGCAAACATGGCATTGGTTAAAAATTATTATTTTGCTTCATGTTGAAGATTATTATAAGAAGAGGTATATTCAATAGTTCCTTTTAATAATAAAAAATGCACAGAAATTTTTTATTTATTTTATTACAGTTAATAAACTTAATACCTTGACTTTACAAAAGTATCATAATTATTACAAGATATCTAATTAATTAAGGTATGATAACCGTTGCAATTAAATTCTACAAATATCAAATAGTAAATTTAATTTTACATAGATTTCAAACTTCTGTACATTTCTGATAGCCCCTGCCATAAAGAGGGCAGCAGGAGTTTCCACGATGAGCTAAATTTCCAAAATGGTAACGGCAAACATTCTCATTTTGTTGATAATGGTCTATGAAAAAGTCTGCTTTAGGAGAATGAAATTAGGGGAAAATGCATGCCTGATGATAAAATTGTTTTACAAAGCATTTGTTCCTGCTGACTTTTTTATGGATAATCTCAAATTCTGTATTTCTTTATCTCAAATCTTTTTTGAGCAGTCCAGGGGGTGGAATTTCGTTCGAGCACATTTATGGAATTTTAGGTTAATGGAGTCTGAAAAATTATTCACAACTGTCATCTTTCTTGATTTGGCTTAGTTCAAAAATCAATGAAGTATGTACAGAAATGTCAATAACATTAGTGATTCTTAGACGAGCCACAGAATGACATTGGTGGTTCCTGCATGAAGTGACAAAATATACTGACTATGATGTCATGCAAATATTTTTATGGAGTTAAAAAGAAAGTTCTGAAATTTCTCACAACCTGTTTAAGATGATAGAGTGTAAAAATGGTATCTGGCATTTCATAATGTGTAGAAATGGAAAATAAACATCTTGTAAATTCAAATGATATCACAGTATAAATGAGATGCACAAATCATAACATCATTACAATTATCATTTATTGTCTATTCTTGAATTCACCTGGGATCCTGAAAAAACTACTCCCTCCTTAATTTCCCTCTATATGTCAATTATAATTTACACCATTGCTTAATTTTACTTACAGAATTCAGTTTGATTATCTAAGCTGAGATATCCACATTTCATAGATTTTTCTCCACATATGTAAACTGAAAGGTCAAATTCTCACATGCATGTTTTTGTTGACTTTAAGAAGAAAGAAAAAACCTTGATCAGCCTTGTTTTTATTTATTACACGACCAGCAAATAGTATTCACACTTTATGTACAGTTTTCACAAAAACTTAATGTGTACAGGTCTTTCAGTGCTATACATTACTATACTTTACAATAAATAACTCCTATAAAATATTCAATACTATAAATAAGAAGTACTATTTACAATCAACCCTCAACATTGACGATAGTCACAAACAAAAAAACTCACTATAAGAAAAATCCTTCATTTCTTCAATCATAAAACACACATCATTCAAAATTTTAGGACTAAAGCAAAATTAATGTTATTTTCCTACCTGAATCATACTTTATACAAATACGCATTCAAATTGAGCAAGATGACATGGGAATGCTTCAAAATAAAACAATACACATCCCAAACAATTTACATAATTAATCATTAAACTTTCATAAACTATAGAAGATGCACACAAATTTAAATATACGCAATGAGTGAACTTTCAAAATTTGGAACTATAGGAACTATTCATGTCACATTGGCTATGTCCACAATACATTAATAGAACTCAATGAAACATTCCACAACAAAGTTGATCCTAGGCTCAAATATTTTTGCCCAAATAAAACTTCTTTAGAATTAAATAATACCAACTTCTCTGGAGTCAAAAACTGTAGAAAATATTAAAAATGTACAAATGCACCAATACTTATACATTGTGATAATTAATTAACTGTCAATCAGATTCAAATTAAAACAATTGTTCACTCAGAAATCAACTTGTTACTCAATTTTCAGTTCAAAGAGATGAATGTGCGGACCTCTTCCTTGCTGCCAAGGTTGCATCTAGCACAATATCTATATATTAAAAACAAAACACACATTTAACAAGAAAGCAGATTGTTTCACAATACTATGTATTCCACAATTTTCTCTTTCATATTGATAATCAAGATGTGAAGAAGTAATAAGACAAAGAGTAATGTACATGGAAGTATTACGCGAGTGATACTTTGCTACTTGTAGCAATGTCTGACATAATGGAAGTAAATAATTTTTTCTTAACACAAAATGTGAATTACAAATCACTAATAGATAGTTAAGAAAGATGATTAAATGAAATACTTAAAGAGAAAATGTTTAACAATCATAAACATTTTAAGATTAATTTTGGATTGTGCTAAATGGGTGTTTAATATTTACTGAAATAATAGAGTATGCTGGAAAGAATACAATTTGACTATATTAATTAATTTAATATATCTTCACAGAATAAAATACTGCTGCCACAAAACTCAAAACTCCATTATTTTTTAACTATAATTACAACAATTTTCATTCTAGCATCCTCTAGATTGAGCACAACTAATAAGTAATCAAACGTGGAGAGAGGGGAAAAAAAAAAAAAGGTCACATTTTTTAAATTGCACTAATTTGAAGATAAACCATGCTCATAATGCTACATACCACAATTCAAAATTCTTGTAGAGATGGACTAGTTTTTTTCTTCTTTTAAGAAATTATGATTGTAAACCAAACTCCAACTCGGATTCCAATTCGTTTTCTGAAAGCGACAATGAGCCACCAGCTCGCCTCCGCAACAAAGGAGGTAGTGGTTTACTGTCCTAGAATGAAAAATTGAAACAGTTGTAACAAACCGAAATTAATTCAGAGGCTAGAGTGATGAAATGCATGTTGTGCACTAAACTAATATCAATGGCCAGCAATGACTTTGTGGCAAGAAATTGAACAATTTAAAACAAATTAACTGAATTAAAAATAAGCAAACCATTATTTGTCAATTCACTCTCTTTACAGTATAGTAAATGGAGTGCCTCAAGGATCAATCCGAGGCCCCATACTATTTCTATTATACATCGAACCCTGACCCTACAAAAGAGCAAAATAGTCCTATTTGCAGATGACACAAACATTATTATTAAAGCAAATACCCACCAAACCCTACAACAAGAAGCTCAAACAGTTCTAGAGGCACAAATAAAATGATTCCAGGGAAATAAATTCATGAAACGCCAGTAAAACTGTCTCCCTAAATTTTCGGAACCCACTCTCTAAAGAAAAGCCCCCAGCACAATTGATGATATAAAACATTCCCATTCCTGTTCCATAGCTCCCCCAAAAAACCTTCTTTTAATTGACTATTCAAGATGATCTAAAACGTAACTACCATATCACAGATCTAAACAACAAGCTTATCAAGTCAAGTTATGGTATATACATCCCAAGTCAAATTCTAACTCAGATATAATGTGGATGGTGTACTATGCAAATGTTCACTCGCACCTAAAATACGAAATAAAATTCTAGGGAAATTCCCCAGAAAGTATTCACACTTTCATCATCGAAAAACAAATATTGAGAACAATGACAAACACTCACAAACATGAGTCCTGCAAACCACTGTTCAAAAAATTACAAATACTACCACTTCCATGCATGTACATATTTGAAATATTAATCTTCACAAAGAAGACACTTATGGGAAACAAGAATTCTATTACTCTGAACACAGAAGTTCATAACTATGATACTAGACAAAAACAAAAGCTGCATGTACCACACAGTGAAACTTTTTCATTTGAAACTTTAATATTTCAAAATAGTACCCTTATAGAAGGCATTACACTATATAACAAACTTCCTAGTGAATTTAAAAGCTTAAACTCTATACACAAGTTCAAAACTAAACTGAAAGCTTTCCTGTTAAACCATATATTCTACAGTACAAAAAAATGTATACATCACAAACACGTATCTACATCAATATAAACTAGTACTAATAATTTTTGCATTTTCTGTTGCATGTTTTGAATCCCCCTTAAACTGGTTGTTGGATATGAAAGATGGACCCAGCCCAGGCACGAATCTATGAAGACATTTTTCTCCTTTTTTTCCTTTCTTTCATTATGATTGATTTTTAACATAAGTCTTCTTGCACAACCATCTATAAAATTCATTAGCATTCCATGATATTGTATTTAATTCAAGAATTGAATTTTAATTTTAATTTATATCTTGTATTTAATTTTTAGAAATATCTGTATTGTGTACTGTATGATTATATACATATCCTTACATTTCCTACATGGCGTATGCTGTATTTATGGGGCAAATATACTATTCTTATTATAATATCTTGCCGTATTTATGTAATGCTGCACATAATAAGATTTTCACAGCAAATACATTACTTTACCAGAAGAGTGTTATTCTCCCCCACCCTTTCACTCTCACATCTGTCAATTTGCCTTTCTCTGAACAGAATAAGTTCAAAATCATTCTGAGGGTAGTATTTCCCCCAAAAAGAATTTTCCCTGATTGACCCGGCCCAACTTGAATGCGGCAAATCTGAGATGAATCTTTCAATTTTACTGTACTTTATATTTCAAAACTTTTCTCAAATACAGCACCAAGTTTCTTCATTAAAATTTTTGTTAGTGTCGAGAAAAGTATGCTCATAAAAATGGCACATGGCATTACTTTTTTCTCTCATTAAACCACTGAATTTTAGAAAATTGCCAAAGTTCAAAATTCTTTGGTCTTCCTCCTATAACTAGAATTGATTTCTTCATATTTTAGGCCAAGTTAGAGATTTTTCTAAATGAAATCTGTTTTTCAAAACTTGATCTATGATTGACCAGTTTTTCAAAACATGAACAGATTTTATGAAATTAATTTTTTTTTGACAATTTAAAAGGCTGCAGGTTTGTAGGTTTCAAATCTGGCGTAAGGGGATATTTTCAGTTGTGTCTGGGGTATGGGGTCATTTTCAGCCCCTCCCAAATCACTTTCACACTAAAATCCTTCTATAAAACCTTGCCCTAACTGTGACATCTGTGTGCATTCTGTTTGTGTGAGATCATAGGCTTCAGTGGCTCGAGTCTGTGTGCGTAATAGAGGATCTGGGTCCCTACGACCATTACAATAGTAGAAGCACCATAATGTGTCCATAAGCTACTACAGGCATTGAATTAAAAGATATAGGTCTAAGGCCCTAAGTGGTATCATGGTTTAATGTTTAATAAGCACAAGGGAGATCTTCACTATGAAATGACCCCAGGGAAACGGTAGTTACCACATGAGGTCCTTTAATTGCCAGCAGATGGCAGGGAGTGAGGCAAAACTGACAAGGTACTGTTCAACACAAAAGAAGGGGAGCTAAATGGTATGAGAATGTTTGCATCAATTTGTAGCATCACTAGTTTTAAAATGTGGACTAAAATTTCCAATTCTATAGAAATTACTAATTTTTGACCAGCTGTTCTTTAAGTGCCTTAATCCCTTCACAACACAAGATAAGTCAATTCTAAATCACTAAATTTGTTAAAAATTCAATCATCATTTTCCCCTCCTTTTCAGGACAAATTAACACAGCATTGGTTGGCATTTGTGTAAAAGCTGTAGGGAAAAATGCATTTAGTGAGACCCTGATACCTATTAAGTGGATAATTCTTGTTCCTACTTGTAGTACATTTCTTCTTCTACCATATTGTGTAGTCGGAATCCACCCTAGCACAGAAAAATTGGTTTACAGCAAGATGTCTGTTTGTCTCTACCTGTGTGCTCATCCGTCTCCGGTCAACACTAGTACCTACAACGTTCAGATGATTTTCTCCAAAATTGACATTTCCCAATCGATCTAGCCGAACTCAAAGCCTTGCAAATTCTAAACAGATGTTTCAAGTTTTGGAAGAACCTTACATCAAACATCAACAATTTTCAAAAATGGTTCCAAATTCTTGGTTTAATTTTTTTCTCAGATTTTTCTATTTTCTCGGAAAGAATGCTTAAAAATGGCGCACTTTAATTTTCTTTGAACAATTTAAAAAGTGACTTAAGCCAATTTTTTTCAGCACCTTATTGAAATTATAATATTGAAGACTGAGATTATTATTTGAATGAAATGTTTTAAAAGATAAATCTTGAAATAAGGTCATTTACAATTTTTGGAATTTGGAAATATGAGCAGTTTTTGCATAATTTTAAATTAAATGATGAACATTTTTAATGTTTTCCAAACCTATTTTACTCTGTAAATATTGAAGCTAGAGATTTTTATATCTCAGTGTCAATGAAGTGTCTCAATGTTAGATCTTTAAATCATTTCATGTCCAGCTTTTCAGAAATATGGGTAGTTTTCATTATTTTGTGTAAAGTTTTCTCAAATATCAGTGTAAACAAAGCCCAAAATGACCAATAAAAGGATAAAATACCTAGTAATGAAACAGAATATAGTTTATAGGATAACCACTGTAGATTGTGCCGAAAGATACATTGGTCAAACAAAATGCAAATTGGATACTAGAATAAAGGAACATGAGAGAAATGTTAGGGAACCAACAGCCAGTCAGAATTCAGCAACAACCCATTGGATAAATACTGGCCAATGTATATATTTATACATTTTAACCTCATAGTTTTATATATCTGAGGATGAAGACACATTTGATCTCCGAAACATTGAGAAGAAAATGTGAAATACACCAAGTTTTGTTTATTAATGTATGTCTTTATTTTATGTGACTATTTTCTTATAAATAAAATCTGATTGTCTGAAATTGAAATTTGGAGTCTTTTATCAATAACAAATTTTATTTATTTATTTAACCTAAAAAACAATTAAAAACTGTATGGAGAGAAGTGCAACCCATGCATGGTTTCTTGAGCTCACAGATCTCTGTCCTAATTTACACATATATAGAGTTGAATTATGAATATAGGCAGCAAAGAGAGTTTTTGGCAAGAAATGATATAAAAATAATACCTTCCATGAAATAAAAACCATTCAAAAATGATATTCAAAGACAAATCAGCCACAGATTTGGGTAATTATCCCTTATTATAAGAAATACACAACCATAAGTACACTGGCTAGTGCAGCAGCTTCCAACCTGAGGGCCACAGCACTATATTAGTGGTCTGCAGAAGGCTAATACAGTTGCAGTCAGAAGACAACACAAAAAAACCAAAAGTATCATTAAATGAAAAAGATTCATAATTGAATGTGGATTAACTCTCAAATAACTTTTTACATATCATTGGTACTGTTCTGGACTTATGTTCACAAACAATAACCAGCAATTGCTAAACTTTCACAGAGATGTTCAATCAAATTCTTTATCAATTATCAGTCAACATTCTTTCTCAACTTTGACTTAACTTGGGGCTGAAACTGTCAATTTTTGATATTATATCCAAATATTGACAATGTCAAAAATCCTAGAGTCTTTTTTTATTCATGGCTCTTAAATTGTCTCTAAGCAGTTTATTATATAATAAGGTGTCATTAATAACTTTTTGCAAAAGAACATATACTCAGAGGGAAATGACATATGACTGAGTTAGGAGGATTTATACATATGATATTTGTTCCTGATTGTTAGGCAATACATTAGCACAGATGTTCGCCAGGTCCATGGAATGCTCTTAACAACGTGGCACATACACACACAGAGCCAAATACAGTGCATCAGAATAAAGTTTATACACATCTTAGGGCATGTAGAGAGGTCAAAACTGAACATTTTATGCCAATGAGAATGTACTGGGAAATTTCATATAATAGAGGTAAACAAGTGGCATTTCCCCCTGATTTTTATGCAACTTTTTATGAACGTGTGCATCATCAGGTCACGTTCCTCGCTGTCTGTGTGCGTGTCTTGATGTCTGTGTGAAAGTTTTTTTTTTTTTTAACGAGGAGAGGAGAGGGGAAAATATACCAAAGACTGCGGAATCCGCATTGGAATGAGCAACTAGCTTGCTCACCCACTAAAAAACCCTCCCATTCCTACGATTCCCTTCCCGCAGAACCGCCGTCGGGCATTGCGTCACGGGAAGGGCAGATCGGCTTATCGCACTAATCCAACTGATGTCATGGGATACTCCATCGCAGTCTTTCTTCTACCCGAAGCTTCTTTAAAACTATTACAGCGTAGGTGGCTACAGCACTCCAATTCTCTTGGGACATCAGCATCCTATTGTTGATGGTTTCAGGAGTCACTACCTGCATGAGGAGTCGGCGAAGTTCTTCCCTTTCCTAAACGAAGCGTGGACAGGGAAAGAATACTTCTATTTTCGAAATGTAATTCTGAACTCCAATGTTTTTTAACGCAGGATAATGCAGGAACTTCACCTTGCCATATTAAATGTGTTCCTGCCGTCGAGGGTAACACTAGCGCAATAATTCTTTGTACCTCTTCTCCATCATTTGCCCTTAATAGCCTTGACAGCAGCCTTCACAAAATGGTCTGGAATTATTACAGTTTCAATTATTTTATTAATTATCTAAGTGATCTTCATAAATTTATCTGTTTTTTAATCTATTCCAGCAGTTTTGTCAATGTCTATGGTATTTAAGATATTTTTTATTTAAGTTTTAAGAAAATGGAGTTTTTAATGGCATTCATATCACAATTGCTTCTTCCAATGAATTGTGTGCTTTGTCAATTTTATTGGCCACCTTTGATATAGTTCACGATATTGGCCATGTTTGATATAGTATTTTTAACATACGCTTTTATTTACTTATGACTTGTTGCATTAATGAGGATTATTTAACACATCGAATGAAAATTTTTATTGATTTCTCAAATGAATGGTCTTAAGAGTGAATAACTGAGAAGAGATTCATCACAATATATATTCGATACCTTATTTCCATAATCCAATCCTTTGGGTATCTTCATGTGGTCTAACAAAACATGCACCGACACATAAAGCCTGTACCTCTGAGTAAACAATTATACTCACATCAAGAATTCCAGCAGATGGTTCAGAAGCGTATCCCATTTCCTGAGCATCTTCCTCATCCGCTTCATACTCTTCTTCTGAATCTGAAAATGCATTACATAAAATCATACATGAGCACAGCAATATTATAACACCACCAGGTCTTGGATTTATATTTTTGAAAAAAGTTCATATCTTCAGAAAAAATACGGAAAATGTAGAAAAAAACATACTTCCAAAAATTACAAACAAAAAGGGTGCAAACTAATGTAAAAACAGCTATTTTATTGCTCAAGGTGGGATGGTGGCCTTAATCCCATGAATGTTAAAACATGCAACTTTGTAACCCACTTTCTCAGGAACTACTCAATGGATTTTTCCTGCTTATTAAGTAATGCATATAGAGAATACTGGTCCTAAGGTCAATTTTAGATCCTATTCAGAAGCAATTTAGGGAGGTTTCTCCATCTTTTAGACCAGCCTGAGTCCTCATTTTCTTCTTTCTTGCCTCCTTCGACATTTGCATTGCAATGTATTCTGCTATAGGCCAATCTCTATCCTTGGTGTTACACCTGTAATTTTTGAATCACTAGACTAGACTAAAACCAAAAATTGTTCTCTTTTTAATCTATAAATCAACATAGGTTTATGGAACAAATATCAAAAGTAACTTGATTTTATATTGCCAGTATGTTCTTGATCATTTGAACAGAAACCCAAGATAATAGTATTTACACTGAATTTAACAAGGCATTTGACCATGTTAATTACAATTTTATTAGTGTAAAACTTAATTATTTTGGAATATTATGGTCTCTTCTGAAATAGTTAACTGATTATTTGCAAACCATCACTCAATTTATTAAAAACACAAATTTTGTCTCCTCAGAAATCCCTACATCTCACGGCCACCTCAAAGCAATACTTTTGCTAGGGTTTATTAATATTTGCCCCAATTTCGGAAAAATTTAATTTCTACTTTTTGCTGGTGATCTAAAACTGTTAAAAAACATTAAATTCACTAAAGACATTAAAGATTTGCAAGCCGTCTATCTCCTCTTCCAATCTGCTTATCAAATGTTTTCAATCTCCATCCTAGAAACTGTAAAATTATCTCATGAATACATGTGCTTTAAATAATGTCGAATAAAGTTTCCCAAAAACTCACCCGTTCCCTGTAAAAACTAGCACAAAATTCCACATATTCAGAAACACCCAAACGCCATTTTCTCAAACAGTGCTCAAACTTTTTCTTCAAACATTTGAAGTTTTGAAGAAGAAAGAAGAAGTAGAAGAAGAAGGCGATAGATGGCAGCTGGCAAAGAGTATGTGGCAAGTCCGAATACCTATCCAAACCCAGAGGAAATAGAAAACTAATATGCTAAAGTCAGTGCTATTTGGTAGCATTACTAGTTTACATTTGTAAATTGTACTGCTTTTGCACTATCAGCACCTTCTTTGGTTTCTCCCTTTATAATCACGTGCTTACATCATGATTGAGTGTTTGATGATTCTGTGCGCATCAACGACTAAGTTCATTAGTCCTATAAGCGTAGAATACAGTTTATTGCAGGAGGTGACAGTAATTTTCCCATTGGATGACGAAATCTGACTCCGCCTTAACTGTCGGCTTGCGGGTTTTTTCTCCAATCAGATATCTCACATCAGCAAGGCACCGCCCCAGATGGGACCAGCTCTTAGCCCCTGACCGGTTTCCTGCCATGGGTGGTAAGGGAAGTGTAGGATAGGCCAAGACTTTCCTGTATTAGTTTATTTCCTTTGATCTCGGCTAGCTATACAATCTTGCCACATACTCTTGCCAGGTGCCATCTATTGCCCAATCCAAAAGTACATTTTCAGAAATGTTCTTAATTTTTTGGTTTCCTAATAGTAGAACAGAAATATTATTTCAAGAATATTGAAAAACAGTAAAAACTCGTCCTAAATGATAATTTTCATCAACAAAATTGAAGCAGATTTTAAGAAAATGGCGGTAAGCGCAACTGTAAATTCGAAATTTGAAGCTCTTTTTCACAGAAAAGTTTAGTTTTTCGAAAAACTCCATTAGAAGTTATCTGAAGCACTCACTTGAACTCACAAACACAATAGTGTTTACAAATTGCTGGAAATATGCCTATTAACAGCATGAAGGATTAAAAAAAAATAATTTGGACTTTACGGCATATTAAAGAGAGCAATTAGCACTATCCGTTCAAAAAGTTTGAAGGAAAAAAATGGAGTATTTTTTGAGAAAATGGCATTTGAGCGTTTCTGAAATTGCAGAATTTTGAGTAGTTTTCACAGAAAACTGGAACTTTTAAGAAACTTTGTGACATTATTTAAAGAACATGCACTCATAAATATAATAATGTTAACAAATTACCGCTAATATAAATATTAACGTGAGAGACAAGTAATGAAATAAATTTTTGTAATTTTTGAAAAAAACAAAAAAATAGAGAAATATCGCGTTTATGTGATCTTATAGCCTACATTTCATAATATCCTTATCAAACGTTCAAAGAAAAAAATTCGAGCCGTTTTTGAGAAAATATGGTTTATTGTAATTTTTTAAAAATTGCACATACTGCTCGCAAACTACTAACTTTAAAAAATGTACATGACCTTAATGATGAAAAAAAAAAACACTATGGAGAGCAAATTTTATTTGTAGGAAAGGTCTCTATTTTCTAATTTATAGTTGTAGGATGACGCCTGAAAAACTTCAAAATTTTGAAATTTTCGATAATTTCGAATTATCTCTGAAAATCGAATCTATTCCCGCTTTTCAAGTGTATTTTACTCAATTTTAACAAGAAATTTAAAGAAAACATTTGGAACAGATTTTGAAAAATTTTTGAAAATGTCCGGGGAGCTTCACGTAAAATACACTAAATTTGAAAGAAAGTTTTTCAGAAAAAAATCCTACATATGATTTAGGCGCTAGTGGTGTTCACGGACGGATTGTGTATTTTCCTTGAAATCGATTTCCCCCAGCATTACATAACTTTCCCTATTCTATGTACATTACTCCGTATATACATACGTATACGGGAAAATGAAACATTTTTTTTCTATCTGTCTCTTCTCTCTTGTCATTTATAAGAGTTAAAAACAGATAAAAACGTCTGAAAACTGCCCCCTTTTGAAGTTACCCCTTTACAGTACTCGTCAATGTGCATCATGAAGGCCACCTAATCGAACTGAAGAAAAAATCATTGAAATAAAAAACACCTATGAACATTGTTTAATTGAGTGATGTGATTGATGTGACCCAGCACGTCAACTGCTATGGTCATTTGTCCCATAAGGGTTGGTGCATGTTGTATTCCATACAATGATGAATACTTTAACATATTGTTGACAGGTGGAATGATTTATCCAGACTTTGCTCAGGTAATGTCTAACAATTTAAACACTGTTTAGATTTTCATTATCAATAGTTTAAAGAAGTCCCTGTCTGAAATTAATATTTAATATGCATCCACATCATGGTCCTGCAGAGCAGTAACACTAATTTACAAATAATAAATCATTGTAAAAACAAGTTAATAAATTATCACTACAATTGCTTCATCACTACCTACGTGCATTGGCCTGAATAATCAAATATTGGCCACTCAGGGGACATAAGGTTTTTGTATCACATGGTATCTTTACTTCATGTGTGAGCAGAAAGAAAGGGCACAACTTTAAAAAGTTGGTTTGTTTTGGTGTGAACATCGTAAAAAAGTATCAGTTTTGTATTATTTTATAGCAGAATGAGTTACCTTAAACATTCAGAACATCTGAATTGTCCTGATCTGACAGGAGGGTTCATTAACAATAGTTTTATCATGTTTAATAAAAATAGTATTTCACAAATATGCTACTTTCAGTGTGGAGCCTATCTAATAAAAAAAGAATCATGATAAGCTACTGGAAGTGAATGACCTTTGCCATGTATATTAAAGGAATGTTTGCATAGGATATATTCATTCACTTAAACTTACCTGATTCATCAATGTACTGGTTGAGAGGAACTTTGCATACCATCTGGGCAAGGTCAGTAAAGGTGTAAGTGGATGGTTGAATAGTACCTTTACTTGTTGCCTGGGATTTTTCAGTTTTAAACAATGGCAATGCACCTGCTTTCAGCATGCCTGCAAAATATGTTGTTCCATGCTGGTATCCAACTTCCTAAAGAAGAAAAAAAAGGAGAAAAAAGAATACGAAAATTAAAAAAATTGAATGTTTTCTTCAATTTTATTTGTGCAATTTTAAGCTTCATTAATACCTTAATTTCATCAAAACTGCCAAACTGAAGCGTTTTGTATTTATCAATAGGTGGCCTAATATATTCACAATAGTCGCTAGTCTTCACTTCCTGAAATACACAGTAAACTTACTTAAATCAATCATAAAATATTTCAGAGGTTAGCAGACAATATATTACTACTTATGAAGTAGTAGTGAACACTAAATATTGAAATGCACATAAAGGGTTATACAAGAAATATAACATTCAACATAAAAGGTAGATTTATATTTACACATTAACAATAGAGAATGCTCAGAACTATGAACACTATTTTCATTTAATTATTAAATTTCAAAATAAAATTTCTGACGGACAGAAAAAAAACACTTTCTTTATTACAAAACTCACCTCTAATTGTCTAACACATGACACATATGCAAGTCTTGACTGAATATCAGGTAAATTTGGAACTTTAACTGGAGATGCAAATGGGTTCCATCGCTTCCAAAGTAGCCACCAACCAGATAAACAATCTCCATAATTTGTAAGGTCTGTGTCATCTTGTGATCCCACATCAATTGCCAGAATATGTTTTGCGCCCTGACTGCGCATAACATCAGCTAAAAATGTAATGTGTGAGTGAGTAGATTGCTGTAATAATTAATATTTTACTTGAGAGGGGAGAGAGAGGAGAGGGAGAAGAGAGAGAGGAGAGAGAGAGGAGAGAGAGAGGAGAGAGAGAGAGGAGAGAGAGGAGAGAGAGAGAGGAGAGAGAGGAGAGGAGAGGGAGAGGGGAGAGAGGGAGAGGAGAGAGAGGGAGAGGAGAGAGAGGGAGAGAGAGGGAGAGGAGAGGAGAGAGAGAGGGAGAGGAGAGAGAGGGAGAGGAGAGAGAGAGAGAGGGAGAGGAGAGAGAGAGGAAGAAAAAGAGAAAGAAAGGAAGAAAAAGAGAAAGAAAGAGAGAGGGATGGAGAGAGTAAGGGGCAGAGGGAGGGAATCACCTGGTTCTCAAAACTAGGTACATACAGGTTTCTTGGTCACTGAACATTAATTTTAAATTTAATTTTCAATTATCAAGATGACAAATCCAAAATGGCAGAGAAAAATTAATAGTACCTTATTGAAGTCAGTGGATAAGAGTTACGAAAATATATTTGTACAAGGGACTAATAGTTTCCAAGCTTAGGATTGTCTCTGTCCATCTTAACTCACCAAAGGAGGTATACATTAATAATTGTAATGATATAAATAATACTCTTTCAATGCATTTTAATTCTTTTATTATCATGGGAGACAATAATTTGCCTAAAGTAAATTGGAATAAAGTCAATTTTGGTACTGACATTACTCCTGGCATTGACTATCTACCAAACACCTTTCAACAGGCATTGATTGTTTCAATTACTTCAAGTCTAAACAACTTTTTACAAATTAATAAAATATTAAATCGTTTTTATTAGATGTATGATTTATGTCTAACTTAAGTTGAACTATGATGGCAAATATTGTTCCTCTGATAAATTGTGATAGATTTCATACATCTCTATTAGTTGATATGAACTTTTCTGACAATCGTAATTATCACAATATTGATTATCCGATTGAGAATCGGCGTGAATCGTGGCACTCAATCTCTCCTCACCACGGAGCACGCACACAGCATCGCTCCCCCGTGACCGCAGTCACCCAAGGACATAAAATCCTCTGCAGGCTTCGTCAACTAGTGATTTGCCTCGCGAGCCGGGCTCGCATACGCACCGTCGTGGCGCCAAGTTTTGTGCACATGCACGAGGTTCTCCCACTGTCTCCAGAACTCACCCACTGGCTCTGTACACTCCGTTATATAGGCGAGGCCCACGTGACCTACTACGTCACGCCACCGCCCCCGCTTGTTATAACAGTGAAAGGTTTCTATAGGCCGGAAGACCCCAAAGCCTTGTGTCTCCCGTTTCCGCGTTCTTGCCTTTACGGAAAAACCCTTCTCTCCTTCCTGTGGCGAGGCTAATCCTCTACCAAGCGTCCCCAAATAGATGCCACGAGGCACGCTGGCTAATACGTTATACCGTGGTCACACGATATGCGACGAATTAAATGTAGTATAAAGTAGGTCACTAAGAGAAGGGATTCTCTGGGACCAATCTACGGTCGAGACCTGTGGAAACTTAGGGAAGTCAGGCGAACCTACCAATGAATTTTAAAAATCACACAAGTGACGTGGCAAAGGAATTTCTACAGGAGAGGGAGGGAGCAGCAGGAAAGAAAACGAAAAGACACTTGAAACGAGAACTTTGCAAGAGTTTGACGAGCCTTGACGACATGTTGAGAGGACTAATATCTGCATAACTTGGTATATCAGATGCGGCCGTGACTGGTCATTACTTGCTGGACTACACAGTTCAACCGTTCGTCATCTGTCAAAACCCGGAATTCATTCCGTTCAACGGACCGATCAGGCCGACATCTAAAAGGCATTCAAAGGAGCGCGCAGCTGGTTATATCGGTTGATCAACTGCAGACGGGTGGCGTGTGACGCCCCATCTGGCGCATCTACGTCGAAATTCATCACGAGAATGATTGCAAGGAGCGGATAATTCCTGGACGAGTGCGACGGGAGCACAAGGGTCTTGGTCGGTGCGAGGCCTTCCATGCAGCAGAGCTCTGTTGCGGTGACACGACCGGAACGTCCCTGGTGGCAGCCTAAGAGGCGAGGCAATCAACTCATCGCCCCCTTCACGTATGTTTGTCCATTTCCATTACAAGAAAATTATTTGCATTTGAGTTGAGAGTATATAAAAATTAGAACAGTCATCGAACACTTGTATCGTAATTTTGTTTTGGGTTTTTGATGGTACTGTGACGTCATGGATACTCACAGCGACCACAGACACAGAGCTTTCGTATAACAAATATATTTATTAACAAGAAAACAAAACAAATATATACACTTAATAATCTACTTACACCCTAGCTCTGATAGACCTACTATCCCCTGATCGCGGGAGCGATCCAAACCCGATTGAAGATGGTTTTGATTGTGGCATTGATTGTGGCGCGCACAAAGCCTAGCTTCCGTGACCGGATGTCACGCTGGGACACAAAGTCCGTTCTGGCGCACCAACGGCTGGTTTGCCTCGATCGCAGGAGCGATCTTATCCGATTGAGAATCGGCGTGAATCGTGGCACTCAACCACTCTTCACCTCGGAGCACGCACACAGCATCGCTCCCCCGTGACCGCAGTCACCCAAGGACATAAAGTCCGCTAATGACTCCAGCCTCGCGAGCCTGGCTCGCATATGCACCGTCTTGGCGCCAAGTTTTGTGCACACGCACGAGGTTCTCCCACCGTCTCCAGAACCTCCCCACTGGCTCTGTACACTCTGTTATATAGGCGAGGCCCACGTGACCTACTACGTGACGCCACCCCCTCGCTTGTTATAACAGTGAAAAGCTTCTATAAGCCGGAAACTCCCAAAGCATTGTGTCTCCCGTTTCCGCGTTCTTCCCTTTACGGAAAAACCCTTCTTCCTGTGGCAAGGCTAATCCTGCCAAGCGTCCCCAAATAGATGCCACGAGGCACGCTGGCTAATACGTTACAGTACATAAACGTGTTATCGCCACTCAGAAGGGCAAACTTTAAAAAGACTAAACACAACAACGATCAGTAAACATTATGCATCCCTTCGACCCAGGGCATCCGCCCCTGAGGTGCGCAATGTCGGAGCCTCATGTCTTGGCACCTATTAAATAAATTTAGTGTGTACACCTCCACTACACTACTCGCCGACGCACTCCTGTGTGACGGTACACAGGACTTTGAGCCAAAAACCTCTATATGCAATTTTCACTTTCCAGTATATGTACGTATATACGGAGTATAGGGAAAGTTACGTAATGCAGCGGAAACTTGATTTCGACATTTCAACGGAAATACACGTTTTGGTGTCCCCTGATACCGATTTTTTTTTTCTTCTTCAAAACTTCCGTCCGTCTGGTGTATGTAAACAACAATAGCGCCTAACCCTTCAATTTTTCCAAATTGAAGAAACCCCTGTCCATTTGGCATGAGCCGAAACTTTGTGATTTTGAAAATCATTCATTAGTTTTGGGGGTACTTTACATTAAGCCCATAAGACATTTTCAAAATTTTCTCAAAAATGGCTCCAATTGTTTCTTTAAATTTCTTATAAGAATAGAGGAAAATTAACTTATAAATGTGGCATAGGTCTAATTTTTACGGTAAACTCGGATTTGTCGAAAATTTCATGATTTGATTTTTTGTGGGTGGGGGGGGGGGAACTTCCTATAACAACAAAATTAAAGATAGAGATTTTTTCTGCAAATAAAATTTGTTGACCATAATGTGTTGTTTCATAAAGATCACATAATTTTTTGAAAATTTTACTAGTTTCTGCGCAATATTGCGTGCAATTTGTGCGATCTTCAAATATTACAAAAATAAGATTTTCTCAAAAACCGCTCCAATTTTTTTCTTGAAACTTTTGGTAGACTGCGCTAAATGCACTGTATAAGAGGACCTAACTGTCATATTGCTCTATTCTTTTGTTTAAAAATGTAAATTTTTTGACCTGTCTCTCATGTCGTTAACATTTACATTAGCAAAAATTTGCTCACATTATTATATTTAGGAGTACATGTGCTTTAGATAATGTCAAATATAGTTTCTCGAAAACTGTCAAAACTAACTCAAAGTTTCGCAATTTCAACTCACCACTCGTAATTTCTAACGTTTTGAAAGGATAGTGCTAACTGCACTCTTTATATGACGTAAAGTTGATTTCGGGAATTTTTTTGTTTTTCAAAAATAACACAAATGTAGTTTTCTTGAAAGATCTCTCACGCCGTTAATATGCACATTTCCAGCAATTTGTAAACATTATTGTATTTGTGAGTTAATGTGCTTCAAATAAAGTTTTTCGAAAACGAAAAAACTAAAAAGCTTCAATTTTTGAATTTACACTAGCGTTTAAACGTCAGTTTTTTTTATAAAACGGCTCCACATTTTTCAAAAAAAATTGCCATTTAGGACGAGGTTTTAATGTTCTTTAATAATCTTAAAATAATATTTCCGCTTTCCAAAAACAAAACCGAAAAATTAAGAAAATTTGAAAACAATGTACTTTGTGCGGCGACAGATGGCAGCAAGCAATTTCAAACATTCATACGTACCAAGTTCGAATAGCTAACAGAGACCAAAGGAATCAGAAAACTAAGGAAACTTGTGCCATTCTGTAGCGCCACTAGTGTAGTTTTAAAACTTTTTTTGCAATTCTTGAAACATCGGGGAAGCCAGCAAAAATGAGATCTAAACTTTTCTTTTAAAAGTCACTATTCAACAACAAACTATAATCAAAAGGAAAAGAAAAAATTGAAAATGTTTTTGACGCTTCATGTGAAGAATGCTCAAAATACAAAATATCCGTTTGAAACTCCCAAAGCCACGAGTTCATTCAGATCGATTGAAGAATATCAATTTTGAAGAAAATTGGCTGAATGATTTATGCACTAGCGTTGACCACAGACGGACGGACAGACACAGACGGAAGGACGTTTTGCCGTCAAACGATTTGTCGGTATGAAGAATCAACAAAACATGGATTACGG